CCTAACTTGGGGGTGGCAGAGTGGTGGAAGGAATGGAGGGAGTCTTATAAAAACCAAATACTGGTGAAGATTCTAATTTGTCAAAAAAAACAAAAACCTCAGCTCTTGGCAGACCACTGACTTGTCATAAAATGCAGAATGCTGGCTAAGGGGGACAAAATCAACGACAGGAGCCACAATTGTGGAATGAAGCCCATAAAGTGAAACTTTAGGGTTTTCGTAAGAAAGAAGGATAATCTACTGTGATAGGTGAGACCCCTGTGTGGCGCAAACGGTTTGCGCTCGGCTACTAACTGAAAGGTTGGCGCCTGGTGATCTACTTCTGTAAGATCACAGCCACTGAACACCCTATGGAGAGCATTTCTACTCTGAAAACACGCGGGGTCACCACGAGTCAAAATCAACTTGACAATGGGTTAACGGGTTGCTGTGACAGATTTTGAGAAAAAAAAAAGGGTGGTCTATTAAACATAGTCAGGCCTCTGTTCTTCCCCTTGTTTCAGAAAATATTAAACAAAAAGGGACGAACTACCGATACACGCAGCAAGGACAGACCTCACGCTTTACGCTAAGTGACAGAGCCGGACTTGGAACAACGTTCCACACTGCTTGATTTCATTTATGTGACATTCGGGAAAAGACAAAATCCTAAGGACAGAAAACAGACCAGTAGTTGTTAGAGGCTGGGGATGGGAGGAAGACCTGGTTCTAAAGTGACACAGGGAATTCTGGAGGGTGATGAACTGCTGTGTATCCCGACCACGGCGGTCATTACAGGACTGTCTGTCAGGTCTCATAGAACTGTGCAGTCAAAAAGCTGAATGTTACTGATATAAATTATACCCCAATAAACCTAAAAAAAAAATTAAAAAAGAAACTGACCACCTGCCAGTTAAATTAAAATCCCTTCCAACAATCAAGGAAACAATTTGACTTTAATCAAATCATTTAACTTTAAGTATAAAGTTGTTACAGGAAATCTTTAAAAATCACAACAAAACTGAGCCAAATAACAGTAACTGCTAACTTAACCAACATGGAAACAATTTTTAAACTTCACACAGAACAAGGTTTTTATGTTTGAGAAGGATACTGGAGGTGGCTTTTATGTGCTTTAGAAACGGGCATTTCCCAATGTTGGTCACACTGATAATTTAGAAGTTTTAGCTTTTTCACCAAAAACAAAACAAAACAAAACAAAACAAAAAAACCCAAAAGTGACATTAAGAGACATTAAGATCTGAAGACTCACAGCTAAAAGATTTTTCAAAAAAATTTTTTTTTGTTTTAAATAACATTACAAATTTTATTTAATGTTACCAAGAGCCATCAGAAGGCTCTCCCCTGAGAAGCGGTAGTCTTCCAAGGACAGAAAGGGCACATCTCTACCAACTTCTAGCCCCAAAGACTTGACGCTCCCTCCCGAGCCCCAGCCAGCAGAGTAACGGGGAGTGCTTCAGGACATCTCGCTGTCCACACTGACTGACGCAGAACACATACCTCGCTTGATAAGAGACAACATTTTCCTACAGAACCACCATTAAGCCATCAAGGCTGTTGTTCACGATGAAGGCGCTAGGTGATATGTGTGTAATCCATGAGAAAAAAGTCAAAACCGAGAGTCAAATCTAAATGGGTCTTGTAAAAGTCCACAGCTCTTAAAAACATCATATATTCTATAGAAAACAGATATTTTGCCCATTGTTTATAATATAATCCTTTCTAAGAAAATAACACCACATTTGCTGCTATTATATAAAAAAAGCTAACGAAACCCTAAGCAAAATAATTAAGGTAAGACTCAAGATTTAAAATTGTAAATGTAAAAACATAGTTTGAATTACTGTGAAAATTTCCGAGTAAGATTTGTGAAAAAATAACTCTGTATACACCCCGGTTAGGAATGCAATGATGAACCTATTTTAAATGAGATTTCCTAAAAACCTGATCACTCATATTTATCAAGTGAATGTAAGAATATATGACGACTATAGTCAACATAAATTTTTAAACAAGCATTTTTTCTAGAAAAAAACATTCAGCAAACAACATGTTGTATCGATTTTAGTACAAATAAAGAACTTGGCTGAGTTTTTCATACCTTTAACATCTGGATCATCGATATGGGGCTCTAAATTTTCTATCATCTCTTCCAGTTCCCTTCTGGTGGCCATGGTGATATTGGGAGAACACAGCACATCGACTTGAGGGGTTTCTTCTGGTCTCTCCGGGCTGAGTCCACCCCAAAGGTCCAGTTCAAGCTCTACTATTTCAGGAAGAGGAGTCCTCCAGAAATGGAAGGAGTTGTACAATTCCTGATCTGAGAGAGTGGAATCCTGCGAACTGGTGCCCACCTCTGGCCGCAGTAGGGATTTGCAGTTATCAGGCTTTTTATCATTCACATTACTAGCTGCATCCTGATGAGGGTCTGAGGACAAACTACAAAGGAGGGAGCTGTCCACTGGAACACTTCTGTCACCTGGAAGCTTCTGCAGGGTTTCAACATGCTCCTCCACTGGGTTCTCCAGACTGACACTGGAGTCGCTGACGCTGAGGTCTGAATGCACAGACTCTGGCCGGGTCTGTGCAGCCTCTGGGGCTTCTTCTCCATCACTGACTCTTTTGTTGTTTGATTTGAAAAAACAAGCAAAAAAAAAAGCACATGAAAAAGTATAAAAATAATTACTGAAAAGAAAAGCAATGAAAGAGTCTACCTACAGCATTTAGACAAGTTAACTATTCAAATCAGACTATGCCACACAGATTGCATAGGTTTATCTATACTACTTGTAATGCTTCTTTTTCCAACAGCTGTTCTGTGTTCAGAGGGGTAAACAGTGTTAAGCATAAGTCTAGATACTGAAGAGTGGATTCAAGAATTACATATTAGCTGGAAAAGACAATACTTATGAATCCTGGGATTCTACAATACCATGAGAATTTCAA